GAGGTTTTCTATTTCGAGAACCACACTACTTTACAACCAGACTAAAACCCCAGACTAACCTACACCACTTGCTGTGTAACCCCGTACCAGAACCGTCCCCCCCTAGTATACCTACAGACATAATACGAGAGGAACATGGAAGTAGTATTAGCTGCTGCTGGTGGTAGCCCTTTTGCATTTATTTCTTTTTTACCTTTTGTTATTTTCGATATATCAAAACGTCCTTTTTCTTGTTTATATGTATGTACCTTTAACAGGAGCGCGCATATATATATTATCCCATTCTTTTTTTTAGCGATTCTCACACTCCCTTCTACCACCACCACCAGCATCACCAGCACCACCTCATATTCATTGATCTTTTCTTTTTATTTTATTTTATTAAGAAAATAAAAAAAGAAAGGTTTATAATAAAATAACATAAAATAAAAATAAAATAAAAGTAACAAATGGTGTATGTGGTACTTTCAAGGTACTAATACTAAGTGGTAGGAATGGTTTAAGCTCCCCCACCCCCCTATTTCTTACCTCCACCACCCCCCTTTAACCCCGCCCCAGACCCGCTCATCCCCCCACCACCGTCCGCAGCCCAGCGGATACAAAATGCCCTCAGACCGGGTTTCCCGGTAGTCCGTTGCATGCACTCAACATGGACATGCATAACTCTTACTGCAAACACAATTAGTTCGTTATGTACTACCCGCGCAACACACGGATTATGTTGGAAAACTCACCAAAAAGTAATCCGCCAATGGCTTCTTCGCCGGCATACCCCTTGTATCCTGCGGCGCTGCCTCAAATACCCGATACCTCCTCCCTGGGCCTCCTCTCCCGGGGGCGCCCAGTACATTCCCAATCTGCCTCGGCCCAGCGGCGCCGCCATTCGTCAAGCCACCCCCTCTCTCCCCTGAGCTTCTCCTCACAGCTCCCTGGGCCCCCTCCTCGCCCAGCTCCAGTATCGCCGCCACGTTCCCGCAGCGGTAGCAGTAATTCGGCGCGCTCCAGACTGTGACGATGCTCGAGTCAAACATCTCCTTGAAGCCCTCCATAACGAGCTGGTGCGCGCGCGCGATTAGGGAGAGGTTGTTGAGATGGTTGAACTGCTTGACGATGTCGGCGCCGAACAGGAAGCCCGCGCCCCGCGGGGAGAGGCCCCAGCCGTCGATCTCGTCCGGGTCGGACCAGAGGAGGTCGCACATGGCGCCTTCGTGGGGGACCTCTTGTTTGCGATCGAGAAGACGGATTTTGTCGACGGAGTCGACGAGAGGGGAGAGGCCGCCGTGCACGCAGAGGATAGCGCCGGAGGAAGCGGAGGCGGGGGACGAGCTGGAGGAGGCGGCGCCGGTGCCTGGGGTGCCAACTCGGGCTGTGGAGTTGTTTGGGGTGGTGGTGGAGGAGGAGGCACGGCGGGTTAAGGGGCGAGAGGCGGTGCCGAGGGGGGTGGTGGGCGCGGTGATGCGGTTCCCGGAGGCGTCGACGGGGCGGAAGACGCGGTGGATGACGGAGCCACCGGCGGAGACGACCTCGACTTCGCATTCGCCTCGGTGCCAGGTGGAGGGGTCGGCGTCGGCGGGGTTGGTGGAGCTCGAGCCGGAGGGGGGTTCTTTGGCGTCGTCGGCGATTGTGGAAGCGGTGGACATGGAGGAGTCGAGGTCGTCGGGGGCGATGTCAACGCCGGAGGCGGCCCCGACGACCAATGCACCGAGCGCGAGGTAGTCAAAGACCTCGCAGCAGTACCGCCAGACGTTCGCGGAGCCGTACTTGCGCAAGCACTCGTCGTAGAAGCCGTAGACAGTGGTGATCTGCCTGGACTCGTGGTTCCCGCGTATCAGGGTGATGCGGTCGGGGTATCTGACTTTGAGGGATAGGAGCAGCAGGAAGGACTCTAGACTATAGAACCCCCTGTCTACAAAGTCGCCCATGAAGAGGTAGTTTGTGTCGGGGCACTCGCCGCCGACGCGGAAGAGCTCCATCAGGTCATGGAACTGGCCGTGGATGTCGCCGCAGATGGTGACGGGTGCGTCGACGAGCTGCACGTTGGACTCCTCGATGAGGAGCTCGCGGGCTTTGTAGCATAGCTCGCGGACGGCGGGTTCGGGGATGGGTTTGCAGGCGCGGAGTTGCTCTATTGCACTGAAGGGGTAGGGGGGGGGTTAGTGGGTGTTGCGGTGGAGGGTGGTGGGGGGTCGGGGGTGCGGAGGATGGGGAAGAGGGGGAATCCCGTACTGGTCGAGGTCGCTCATTGTGGGGATTGGTTCGCTAGCAGAGATGGTGGGGGAGGGGGGAGGGGGGAGGGGGGAGGAAGGGGTGCTAGCTAGCTCAGCTCACCCAGGCGCAGGCCGGGGGAGGGGTTGCACAGCAGGGCGGATGGTGATGCTCGATGGGGGACGGTTATCTTTGATGGAGGGGAAACGGTAGAGGTGGATACGGTGGATGTGCGGGTATGCAAGGTGCTGAGCTGGCGGGGCGGCGCGCGCAGAACGGAGAGAGGGGTTCGTTGAGAGAGATGGGGGAGTCTTTACGAGGGGAGTTCGTTGAGAAAGGATTCGTGAAGGCTGGTGGGCCGCGCGCGTAGCTCTCGCCCTGCGCCGTGTGGCGGCCGCTTGCAGCTGTCGAATGCCGCAGGTTTGCTTGGCGGATGGCTGAGTCAGCGGGGGAGCGAAGGGAGCATCATCCCCCTGACAGCCTCGGCCTTGGCAACGTCTTCGGCGCGGGAAAGACAGGTTGCTCTTCAGCGATGGCGCGCCACCCTCTGGGCCAGCTACATGGTGCCTTGAACTGGATATGAATCCAGAAGGGCGTCGAAAACAAGTAAGTCATCCCCTTGTCACCCCGCCCCATTTTATATTTTTCATGAATACACAACACTCACATCGACGGTGTAGATGACGCAAGCTGTGCGACTCCGTGCAGACTCGGAGCCGTATCTCCGCGCGGACCATCGCGCACCGACGAGGCACACGACCCTGCGACGGTGGGAACTGCTTTGATCTGAGGACGCTTTCATCCGCCTGCCCCGCAGTCATTGTCCGTGGATACTTGGGCGTTTATTCCCGTCGCTAGACTCGCCGTGACGATGCGGCGATGATGATTATGAGGTTGCGCGCCGCGGGGAGGGGGAGAAAATGTTGGTGTTAGGAGTGCTGGAATGCGATTGTGTGAGACGTTGGTCGGAGGCAAGGATGGGGGGAGGCTAATGATTTTGTTGGCGTGGGCCTAATGGGGTCTTCTCACGGATCCGGGACGCGGGTTTGTTGGCCACGGCGAGAGAGCAATTTTACAGAGAGTGCCGAAGGAGGTGCATAGGAGTGTGGTGGGTATGGCTTGGAGTGTTTTATGTGCTGGCGGAGGTGTTCGAGAGGTTGACGGGGTTTGTGGATCTGGGTGTGGATGAGGGAATGCAGATGGGTTACGACGGCGCTACGGGCGCTGTTGTCTGGTGTGTTTTGGCTTTCTGAAAGGAGGGGACTTTATCCATCCCGTGTTACGCCTGGAGCTCACTGTGGAAGCGCCATGTCGGCTGGTATTGGCACAGTGCATGTGTTTGGTATCGACTCTGGCTACGATCCTTCCCTCCGCCACTCCCGATTGCTGCTACAAAGTATGTGTCTGGAGAAGTCTTTGGAGACCTGAGGATATGTGCTCGATCAGGAGATTCTAGCGGCGAAGGATTTGGGGTGGTGACGCCTTCTCCCGGGAGGGGGGAGTGGTGGAAGGGCTGCACAGGATGGTGATGGCGGAGGCGTCGTGGGCAACTACGTGATTCAGGCGAGATGGTAGGGTCTGGGCTCGGGGAGAAGAGGGGGCTCGTCGGTGGGTTGGGGGAAGTGCCGATGGTGTTCCTGGGTACGCCGGCGCTGCCGGGCACAAGGAGTAAGAGAGGTGATCAAGGATATGGTAGGCATACTTATGGACGCAGCCACGGGGGTCAGGGGTGTGAATGTAGGCGGTTACGGGAATGAGGGCGTTGAACAGAGGATAACGATGGCGACCGGGAAAAGGTTAATGTGCGCAGAATATGTGTCAGGAAGGCGCTGTTGGACGATTAGTTGGACGATTATGCGGTGGGAGAGATGTGGGAAGCTGGGTGAAGGATTGAGGCGGCAAGGGAGGGGGTTGAGGGAGGGCTGCAGATGAGGTGTACCGTTGGTGAGAAGGGGATGCGGTGTAGGGACTAGTGCTGAAGGTTGTTTTGATTCTTTGAACTGGGGCGAAAGTTGGGTAGTACAGGATTCTGAGGCGCTACAAGTCTTTTTTTTTTTTTTTTTTTTGAGGGACATCTCAGTGGGGCGGGTGTGGAGAGAAGGAAAAGGCTCTCTTTACTAACCATTCAGAGGGGGGGGAAGAGAAGAGATATACAGCACCGTGACAATTCACTCCAACTACTTCAACCTGTCGTTTTATCCGTGCCGAAGGACACCAGCCTGTGGAAGAGGGGGTATGCGGTTTGTGGTTGTTGAGCAGAAGCGAACTTGGGCGGGGGAAAAAGGTTATGGGAGATAGCTGTGTTCCTTGATGCGAAAGTGAGGACGGCGAGCCCGCGCGGTAGGGGGCATTGGGAGATGGGGGAGGGTGTTGAGGAGGTTACATGCGTTGCGGAAGAGGATGTTTCTGGCGACGCAAGTGGCTATGAGGGGGGATAGGGAGGGTGGTAGTGTTGGTGAGGGGAGGGGGGGGGAAGGAACACGGTGGCGGGGATGTTGGTGGGGATGTTGGGATGTAAATGGCCAAAGGTTCCGAGGGCGGCCAGGTGGCTGTGGCTGGGAGTTGGTGGTTGGAAGGGGGTGGGAGTGGAGAGCTTGAGGATTGCATCAAGCGGTTTGCGTAGCGAGGCAGTCAAGTTCATCACTTAGTGCTGCAACTTGGACATGAAAAACAAAAAACATTGAAATGTGAGATGGAGAATCGCTTATGCGAATTGGCTATGATTGTCATCTCGGATTCCGTTCCGCCACCAGGGGGGCGAGTTCATTTAGATTAGTCTACGCTACTGTACATTCGGGAGCATGGTCTAGGGGTATAACATCTCATTTGCAATGCTAGTGGCGGCATGGAAATTTGAGAAGGTCTGGGGTTCGATTCCCCATGCTTCCATGTTTTTTTTTGGTTTTGTTTTGTAGTTGTAGTTGTAGTTGTGGACTAGGGAAGTTAGCTTGTCTAAGGTTCAGCGACGGGTGTTGAGGTTAGAGGGGTGGAGTTATGGGATGTATCAGTTAGAATTTCTTCCAATAGGGTCTCATGGGAGGCAAATGAAGGGCAAATAAAACGGCGTTTAATGGCTTGTAGATTTTTTCATTCGCAGCACAGCAAGCTTGGTGGTTACCCCGTTACTGACCTGTGTATCGATGGGTACTTTACCCTCCAGAAATCGGGTATGGTTTTTTTTTTAGATAATGATGATTATAATAAAATTTGTTAGGTTCGTAGGAACATACGTAGGAAGTTGCCTTTTCTTTGTATATTATCCAAAACCGGCAAGACTTTTTTCATTGTGGCGTAATTGGGGGCTTCTCGCACGCAATCAAGATAATTCCTTGGTGAGTTGTATGATGCGGATATAGTGTTAGTTTTGGATAAATAGAAAATAGAAAGGTTCTAGGAGAGGAGGGTTAGTAGTGGGGATGGAGTAGTGGGGTTTTATGTAAAAGCAGAGGAGGTTGGAGGTGGAGGGGTAGGTGGGGAGGGTTGGGGTGCTTGGTAGCTGGGATGGGGGGGTGCGGGGATGGATGGAAATGGGATGGGGATGGGGGAGATGGAGGCGGGGAAGGAGGGTTCAGGGTAAGTGTAGGTTTTGTTCTTTTCCCTGTATGGATAGGATTTACACTGGGCCATTGTTGGATTGGGATAAGGTAGCATGAAGGAAAGGTATGGTATGTATATGGAATCTTACTCTTCCGATCCGTTTTCGATGGCGTGTTTTGCAAAAAAAAAAAAAAAGGTCTGGTACTCTGTGTCCGCCTAGGTGGTACTGGCAACCTCTGCTACGATATGGGGCCTCGGTGCCCCGCAGACAGACCAGAAATCGCAGACAAGACTACAGGCCACATATATGATATCTTTCTCATCGCCATTACCCATAGGGTGGCAAGCGATTAATGATATTAAAAAAAAAAAAAAAAAAAAAAAAAAAGATATCTTTCTTGACACTTGACCATTGAGGCCGCTCTTGGGACCTCATTTCGCCAGCTGCAGATACAAGTATACCTCGCCATAGCCCATAGGGCGGCATGCGAGTAATGAAATTAAAAAAAAAAAGAAAAAAGATACAAGTATGCTGTGGAAGACATTGGATGCTGTTGAGCCTGCCTTACAGCGTGTCTGGCTTTCGATTCGGGGGCATCCTGCACGAAGGGATTAAAGCTGCCCGCTCTGCATTATCGGGTCTGTTGATCTCCGCTCCTTCTGGTAGAAGCTGATTTACAATATCGATATCGATATGGCATTCAGACCGCAGCGTTGTGCAAGGGTGTGCTCCCACTGTGATCGCTTCTGTTGACCTCCGCATACTTATGTCTGCATATAGTAGCTAGCTGATATCAAGCGGGAAGTGTGGAGGAGGATAGCACAGGGGGTTAGTGGATGTGGCTGTGATGTGGGCGAAGGGGGCATAGAGGCCTGAAGGGCAATGAAGGGGCTGGCAGGGATGCTTGGATTGCCACACTAGTACTTTATCAGGAAGAAGTGGTCACTGAAACTGGTGTGAGGATGATAGCCGAGAGACAGAGAACTTAAGAAAGAATAGACTGGGTTCTAGGTGACAGGCTGCTTCACGGGCAAGGCAGAATGAGGAACATGTAAGGTGGCATATTGGTAAGGGAGAAAGTGAGGGCATGGAGGAAGAATTGACGGCGCATGTTTGGTCCAGCTGTGAGGTATGGAAAAAGAGGTGGCTAGGGGGTAGCAGGCCATAGTGAGACCATCCACGACACAAGGCGATAAACTTGACCCCTTGGTGGAGTTGATGATATAAGCATCCTACATAAGTTCTTCAAGTATTGTATCTTCCATAACCTTCAGTGCATTCAGGGTAACCTATACACATCAGAAATAAATTTTTCCGCTCGGGTGCGCCGGGTGCGCTAGCAGAGGATTCTTTGTCTTCCGAATAGGGGAGTGCTAACGAAGTATGTATCATTGTTGATTGTAAGGTCTTTATGCCTGGCACTCGGTTTACGAAGCTAATATGCACACATGCATTAGTACATGTTATTATATTGCATCTGTACTACTTTTGTATGGCGGATGGACCGATGAGACTGCCGAGCTTCCGATGTTGGGGATTTCTGTGTGGTTCGCGAAGTTTTTCTTAATCAGTTTTTTGTATGTAATCTCGTCATAGCGCTCGCGGGGGTATACGAGTAATGATATTTAAAAAAAGATAAAGAAATAAACAAATCATAACAATAATAATATCAAGGTTAAAATAGTTCAGACAATGGTACAGTTGCTGGTTGCAAGAGGACTTGAACTATGAAGATATTATCGATGGTAATAGTATCTATATAGTGGATCTTTGCTTTGCTAGAAATATTCTATCTAATAATGGAAAAGTATGGAGTCTGCAGATTGCTGCTGCAGGTTGTTGAGGTAGGTTGCAGTATTGGTTTGAAGTGGTGAGAAGGGTTTGAAAGCTACTGGATATGGAGAGTAGATGTTGGTTATGTATAATAGGGAGTTGGGTGAAATTTTAATTGTAGAGGTTGTAGTGTTTTTAATAAAATATTATTTTGTAGTGGGAGCAAAAGGGTTTAATCTAAATAACTTATATTGAAAATTATCGATTTTATTACAGCTTCTACTATAATAGAAAAAAGATTCTCTGGTTAGTATGTAGATATCTATAAGTATTCACTACTAATTGTTGTTCTAACGAGGAAATTTTCAAGTAGGGAAATTCCCGCTTTTTATATGCGAGGTGTTCAGGGTAACGAGCCAATCAAACTGCACCATTGATTTGAGATTAATACGTGATAATATTCTATGAGTCACTATTCGTAAGTCAAAGAATGAGTCCAAAACAACTGAAACTTGTGAGTCAAATAATAAATCAGAGATTTCCCAAACGGGACAATCTTACAAGGCCAGAAGTAATTAAAGATGCGGGTTCTAGATTTGGTAATCCTAGATACCTCACGGTTTCTGGAGGGGCCAGCTGTCGGCCTAATGGTCCTGGAAGGTTGTCCTTTCCGCACAACAGTGTGAATGCTATAAACCTTCATGGTTACAACGCAAACTGTAAATTCATTAACAGTATTAAAAAGAAGGGTCTTTGAGGGTTTTGTTAGTTGGGTAATTATGAAGGTAAGGAATAATTCGTTACAGTTGACCTTCGCTCCTGCTGCTAGAGATTGCTTTACAGCAGCATGGCCACCTTTCGCAGAGGCCTGCAGAGCATCAGGTATAATTCTTTCGGGACCTTTCTAAGCAACGGCTGTGCGTACGGGAATTCGATGAAGGAGGGAAGGAGTAGCTTGACAATCTCCATATGTCCAATGTTCGAAGCTACGATAAGTGCTGGGGCTCTCGATCCCTCAATCACCTTGGCTCCTGCAGCCAAAGTATGTTAACAACCGCAGTATTGTCATTTGCTGAAGCTATCAGAAGTACACACTGTGATTTGAGGAATTTGGAGCGGTGTAAGGGCAGCTGGAGTGTGCAGAGGACGAGGTCCACTTCAGCAATCGCTCCTAAAAGCTTCTTTACACAACTGCATTTAATGTAGCCACGAAACATGGCCGACCCGAGGTTAACCAAGATTGTTGCCCATTTTTGGCCCGTCCCCAACGGACTACTTCATGGAATTGTGATCATGCATAGGATCGACGATTGTCTCCACTAGTGGCCCTATATCCTCCATGTGTCTGTTCTGGGCTGCGGAATCGTATGAGTTGCAAGTGTTGCAGATAAATCTGGTGTGCTCAAATTCAACCGGTGTATGATATACTGTATTTTACGGTGAAGCGGGTCACGACGCAGAAGCGGGTCACATATTTTTACAGAATTAAAAATTAAATTTACTCCCCCTATGCTCTTGATACCTTCATATTTCTACTTTCTTCACTTGCTCAAGGTAGTTCAATGGTACCAGAGTGGGGTATTGGGGGTGGTGAGACATGTGGGGTGGTAGTGGTCTGTGTGCTGAGGTGGGTGGGGGCTAATGGCTAGGTTACCGAGAAAGCAGGAATTCTGACCATAAATATACCCAGAATGTCTTCCTATGCAATTTTGAACCCAGTAGAGGTTCAACTCCATAAGAGCAATAATCTAGCATAATTAGAGCATGCTGTAGGAACTCTAGCAGAAGTTACGTGGCTGGAACTAGAGGTAGAAGTTAGCCGAGCAGATAATGAGGAGGAGTTTCAGGTATTTTAGGCCATTGTGCATCTAATAATTTAGTGAAGCTTTAGCAATTAAGGATATGCATTCATGACAGCTGTGATAAGTTTTTTACTTCTTTACTACTTAGATTTTTGCATTATATTATGTAGGTGTACCCCCTATAAAGTATGCAAATTAAAACTGGGAAGCTGGCTATTATGCACTAGCTAAATCCTTTACTACTGCCAACTGCGTCAACTATATAATAGCTAACATAGCCCAATAATTCTAGTTAGTGAAATATATATGAGTTAGTAAGTAAGCTGTTT